TCGACCATTTCTGGCCAGCAACTTTCAGCGTCATTAAGCCGCTGCGCCACTGCGTCCCCCCCAGATACAATATTTTTATGCTATATGTCTCATGCATCTAAATGAAACTGAATTCTTGTGAGAAGATCTGTTTCCATTGTTAGTTTTGTTGTGAGCTCAGTTATTCATTTTAATGATTTTTAAAAGTTTGGATAGCATGATTAAGGCTGTGTATTAAATTGTATAGATGCTGCCTCATGAAAAGCAACACATTTATATAGAACATTTATTTCATTAAATAAATAACAATATCTGAGATTCTTGTTGGACTGCACCATTTTTATCTGAGGCCACGAACACATTTTGGATGATGCCGTTGCTTCCTACATTAAAGGATGCAGAGACAAATTACCCATGATGTTAGATTTTCTAAACATATTATTACACTGAGAATGTCCATGGAAGCAAAACATTCCCTTCATCGATAGATTAAGAATTACAATATCTTTCAGAAAGTTCCAGTAGATCCTAATTTATGAAAGCTTTTGCTTTAATTAATCTTTAGTCCTTGAGAAGTCTTCTTCATTTTTCTTCATTTTTCTTTCTGAAGATTTTTTCATGTATTATACTTTATATTGGTTCCATTTTAATGTGTCTCCCAATTTTTCCTTATAAATGCAGAACCAGAACATTTAAGAGTTCCAGAGCTATATAATCTTAATGTCATTTTTACTGTCATTTTTAACTGAAGAGTTAAAGTAGATGCTTAGATGGACATGTCAATTTTATATATAAATTAATGGGTTATAGACATGAAAAGAAATGCTTTATTACCTAACTACATTATGTTGATAGGTAAACATGCAGGTGTGATTCGGATCACTTTCTGTCATTGTAGTTTTTCAAGGCAATTTTTTTCAGTAGTTATTTTCTTTTTAATTAGTTTCCTAATAAACATTTGTTCAAATCAAATACAAGTTTACCCCTCTTAAATTGTGCTCTTTAACAATTAATACCCACAAGGCAAATATTTCCTGCTGAAACACAACATGGAATTGTTATCTTCCTAGCAGCTTCCTCATGTGAAAGAGTGGACATTTTCAGGGTGAAAACAAGTAAAGCAGAAATTCGGTAACATTGCATTCTACTTTAGAAAAAAAAAAAAGGAGTTGATCTGATTAGTGAAGAAATCAGTATAAGGAGGAGTTTGGGACTTTAGATTAGCACAACCCTTGATCTTCTTCACATTCTACTCTTTTCCTGTGTTTGTTTGTTTGTTTGTTTATTTATTTATTTATTTATTTATATTTCACATTTGTCACCGCCCATCTCACTGGAGAGCGACTCTGTTCTTCAGCTGTTTGTATATTTTGGTATGTCAGACACACCCCTCCATCCACCTGCCTGATTTTAAAAAGATGTATGATGAATGTATGCAGTTTTGCTTTTAAATATAGTTCAGTGATAGAATATCACTACTATTGGAGAGCATTTTTGTTGCCATCCAGTTTCTATTTTGTGGTATGAAAAGATTACACTGTACATAGTTTATAGAATGAAGACGGAATGAAATGAGGATCTTGTAAATTGTTTTAGAAGAAAGGGCAATGTTGTGAGCAATATAAACCCCACTGGGCCCAGCATGATCAGCTGTCACCTCTAGGGATTTTTTTTAACTACTCGGGGGATATAGCCAAGATGCTAAATTTACTTGTGTTGACCCCTTGTTTCAAGCATCTCAAGTACTGTATTAATTAGCACAACAGTTATGAGACATAGTTGATAAGCACATTGCCTTTTGTCACACTTTTTGGGAGAAGGCAGAGTCCCTGCTTTTACAGAGAAGGTTCCAGGCTCAGGCTGTAGAACCTCCAGGTAGAAAAGGGGCACCTGAAACAGGTGTTACCATGTTGACAGTATTGACTGGGCTGGATCATCAGCAGTTGGATTTAATAGTGAGCTGGATGGACCATGGAACTATCAATGGGACAACTCCCTGTGTTCCTTTGTTCACGTTTTGTGTGCCAAACCAACCAATCAGTGGGTTTTATTACACACAGATCTCCAAGCAAATCAGCGCTAAGCGATCAGGGAAAGGCGAACCACTTTGGCTACAGCATAAACCTTTTGGTGAAGAGTCCCTGACGGCACAGTGGGGAGGGCTTTGTTTGAGAGAACCAAAGGGGGGCTGGCGCGTGGAAAGTCCCGGCCAAGGTGGGAGTCACTAGGGAGAAGAAAGGGGAGGGCTCAGGGGGCATTCCAAAGGAGGAAAAACGGAATCGAAGAGCCGAAAAGCAGAAGAGCGCCGGGGCGCAGCGTAGGCGCAGGAGCGAAGGCGGAAGCGTGGGGGAGAGAGTGGAAAGGAGGCGAGGCGGGGAGAGAATTGCTCTGGTTAATTCCAGGCGTAGAAAGCCGGGAAGGGCACCAAAGAAAGACTCACCCTACTCTTTCCTATTCCTCGGGGTACCTTTCTCTGGTCAGCAACCGGGGCCCAAGAGCAGCGCTGTAATCCAGCGAGGGAAAGGAGCGCATCGGTTTCCGCCAGGTGCGAGGAGGACTCTTGCGCCTGAAAAGTAAAGGCGGGAAAGCGCACGGCGAGAACTCAAAAGCAACAGGGCGCCATGCAATCCAGCGACCATCCCGGCGACTCCATTTGGACGACGCCCGCGTGGAACTGGAGCCAGGGCCGGCTTGGGAAGGTAGACGGCTCCGGCGGCAGCGTGGAGGCGTCGTTGTCAGGGAGCAAAGCCAACGGAAGCAGCGACCGCTACGGGCGGGACGAAGAGCTGGCCAAGCTGGAGATCGCGGTGCTGGCTCTGACCTTCGTCTTAGCCGTGCTGGGCAACTTTTTCGTGCTGCTGGCGCTGCACCACACGCCGCGCAAAAAGGCATCCCGCATGCATCTTTTCATCCGCCACCTGAGCCTGGCCGACCTGGCCGTCGCTTTCTTCCAAATCTTGCCCCAGCTCTGCTGGGAAGTCACGCACCGCTTCCACGGGCCCGACGGACTCTGCCGCGTGGTGAAGCACCTGCAGGTCTTCGGCATGTTCGCCTCGGCGTACATGCTGGTGGCGATGACGGCCGACCGCTACATCGCCGTGTGCCACCCGCTCAAGACGTTGCAGCAGCCGAGCAAGCGCTCGCGCTGCATGATCGCGGCTGCCTGGGCGCTCAGCTTCTTGCTCAGCGTGCCGCAGTACTTCATCTTCTCGCTCAGCGAGGTGGAGAGCGGCTCGCAGGTCTACGACTGCTGGGCGCACTTCATCAAGCCGTGGGGGGCCCGCGCCTACATCACCTGGATCACCGGCAGCATCTTCGTGGCGCCCGTCGTCATCCTGGCCACGTGCTACGGCTTCATCTGTTACCGCATCTGGAGCAACGTCCGGGACAAGACCCGGCGGCAGAGGCGAGAGAGGGCTCCGCCGCGCGAGGGCGCCCTGCGCAAGGGGCTGCTCTTCACGCCTTATGTCAGCAGCGTCAAGAACATCTCCCGCGCCAAGGTCCGCACCGTCAAGATGACCTTCGTGATCGTCTCGGCTTATATCGTGTGTTGGGCCCCTTTCTTCTCTATACAGATGCGTTCTGTCTGGGACGACCACGCCTCCTGGCTGGGTAGGTGCTGTGGCCTGATCGGCTGGGGTCCCTGCCTAATGTCTGGCTCCCGACAGAAGCCATTAGCGCTTGCCAGGCACTTGGGACATAGCTGCGCTGCACCCTTAAGCTGCTCCTGACCTGTGCTGATGCCAGCTAGACTCTAATCCAGTTTAAGAAAATTCTGTCCAAATTGGGACACTTTGGCAGCAGCTGGGTACCATCCCTCCTTCCCTCCCCTCAACCCCTTGGACAAGTCTCCTGTTTGGCCCTCCCAACTTCCTGTGCCAGGAAAGCAATTATAGCTGCTTTCTTTTCTGTGGGCATGTCTTTCCGGACATAAATACTTGTATATGTATAGAGGCTCACATAAAAACATACAAATTAAATTAAATCCATATATACAAAGTTAAAGCATCAAAATGTACATATATGCAGGCAGAACAATCAGCTTTAAAATAAAAATTCCTTTCTTCCATTTTCCCAGTTTGGTACAATGTCAGCTATTGTTACAGGACTCCCTCGGCAACGTTTGCCTGATGTTAAGAATGTCACTGATTCAAAACCTGGAAGAAAAGTTTATATATGCATGTGTATATTATTATTATTTCTTTCCTGAGCTACCTACTTTACTGCTTTTTTGAACCAGCTAACTGATGTACTGTTTCATCATCTTTCCCATCCCTTGAGGATAGAAGGATTTCACCCCAGCTCTCAGATAGTCCAAATGAAGATTACTGCAAAAAGTCATATGCAGAACTTATTCAGCTGGGTTATGTGGGAGCTGGGTAGAAAAGAAAAGAAAAATGCTCCAGCATTTCACTGGTTCACTGGTAGGCTTTTTTTTTTTTTTAATACTCAACATAAAAATGAGTATCTCAGAAAAAGAAAAATAGTAATTTAAAACCCAGGTTTTGAACAATTAATCTTCAGCAGATCAGGCAAATGTTATAGCCACCATGCTAGTGGAACACCATGCAACAGCAGCCGAGATCAGAGACCAGCAGGGGAGCAAACATTTACTCAGGTGAGGGGATGTTCCTGTCCCTGTGCTCAATAGCTGATCAAGCTGCAGGTGTTGCCTAGGAAAAATAAAGTGCTTCAGGCAAACTGGACAGCAATGTTTAATCCAGAAAACACAGAGCAACAAAATATGGATGGCCATCACTTTTGCCAGAGCTTGGGGGGAGTAGAAGATGGCATCATCTGTTGGTTGGTGGGCCTTCCTCATAACAGGCCCTTCCTACACGTTGCAGTGTAGATATGCCCTACATTCCAAGGCTTAATTTTTTGGAAGCAGAATGCTATTTTCCTGAGTGTGTAGGGGTGTTTTTTTTTTGGTCATACTTCTCAATATAAAAATATTTATTTCAGGGATTGGAAACAACATGCAGTTTTACCCTGTTTGGGTTTCAAGAGGACTTACTAAACTTATAACTTTTTACATGGCCTATTTTGAGACTTTCTTTGAAGAAGTGTTCTGAAAGTCAAATAAATCTAAATAGGCTCATTTAACATCTCATCTTGGTGGTCATTTGATTTGTAATCACTTAGAAATAAATAGATTGGGGCTCAAGGAACCCAAACAGTCCCATATTAAAAATCAGTGCCAGACTAAAAAGAACAGAACTTTCAGGGTTCTCTTGTAAATGTTTTTGCATAAACTGAGTTTTTCCCCTAGTAAATGCAGGATAGGATTTAGCTGAATCTTTATAGTAGTAGTATAGTAATTCTGCGCACATCTCCATATGTATTTCAGGTGGACTTACTTATGAATAAGTGTATTAGGGTTGCAGCCTAAAATTTAAGTGCTGTGCATCAGTGCATGTGCCCTTAGTCTTGCTCTGGGTATTTATTTGGAAGATTTCAGAGCTTTAAGAATCAGCATATTTTACAAATGTCAACAAGCTCAAATATCAACTTTAGAGGATTTTATATTGGAGTGTTTTTTGTTATTACTTTTCCTCTAGATACCAATCAGACCTTAAAAATACGCTTGTTTTAAATCTTACCACTTCCATATGGCTTTAGCAATATCGATTCGGGGATTTCTAGTAGTTCCAGCCCTTTGTTCTTTAGGCAGGTATTACTAGGAAGTATGCATCCCTTACTACTTATTAATTATTAATAATATAATAATTATTATTATTACTAATGCAAAGA